AGAGGAACCTGGAGGAAAAATGGTCAAGAGCCCAACAAATCTACAGGCAGGACCCAGACCATCTTTAGAACCATTTCCTTTGCTTCCCAGAATGAAATGGGAAGACACAAATGGAGCTGAGATTCTGCCTTCCTTTTTTTTCTTTCAAAGCCAGCCCTTATCCAAAGTATCTGGCTTTTCTTTATTTCCTACCGGAGACACCAAAATGAGTCTGAGTTCAGAGATACTTTCCTTGGTGAGACCCCTCTCTCGGGAGATTTTACCTCTCCCACCTACCTCTGAGCCCTTTGGTCTGCCTGAACAACAGCCGCAGCAGCAAGAACAGAGAGATAGGGTGTGCACGGTCCCCGCTGAGGTCAACATCTGGAGAGACTTAGGTTTCAGAGAGGGATTCAGACTGAGTCATCAACGCATAAGAACTGTCAGCAGCTTTTCCATGTTTCTTCTTAATGAGCCCCAATTTCTGGCTTGCTGGGAAGGTCCAGTCCTGAGAGGACATTCATTGGACTCCCCAGAAAAATTAATGGCATGAACTTAAATTGAAGAGGTGAGACGGGCCCCAGCTGGAGGTCTGAATTCCAAAACAGCGATGCCCAAAGCCCGCTCCTTTCTGACCTAAGAGAGGACCCCGTGGGAGTGCTGGCCTCTGAGTCCTTCCCTGCAGTGCCACACTGGCCCTCCTTCTAGGACATAAAGATCCCCTCTGTCCAGCCACCTGTCTCCACAAGATATCACACAAACCTGAGACAGAAGGGGCTGATAGCTCCTCTTCTTAAAAGACCAGGAATTCAGTTTTCTCTATTAGATATCAAAAAATATCTATTTCTTTTCATCAAGAGAAAGAAAAACTAAGACCGACTGGGAAAGCCGAAGTTTGGAGAAAACAGGTTTCTCTACATCTGTGCTGGGTTATTTGAAGTAGCGCCTGTCGGCTGTGTCTCCTCCTTGTCTTCATCCAAAAAAGAGGGAGACAAGGACTGGAGAAAACGAGATGATGAACAGACCAAGGTTCCTAAGGAAGGGTGGGTTCCGGGCCTGCTCAGGGTCAGGAGTGAACTCTTTGGCTCTATCGAATTGCCATTGGCTCTAGCAACACTGGGGCAGAGATGGAAAGAGAAACAGACAGGCATCATCACCCCATGCACAACCCTCACTCCAGGAGGTCTGTCACAGAAGCCAACCCAAACACCCCCACCCACCCCACTGGCCTGTGGATTATCCCCCTCTAGCCTGCCCCCTACCTGGGGCTCTCTGTTTCTGTACTTTCTCAGCATGGGTGTCTGAAATAAGAACTTCTCCTTAACCTTATGCAAAGCGGACTTTTTGTTTGTTTCTTCATGGGTTCTCAAGTCTGGCTGCCTGCTTCCCTATAACCCCAGCTTCTCTTTGGCAGATCAGGTATTTGGGGGGTGGGAAAGATTGGGGACAGAAATATTATCCAAGCTCCAGGACCAGAAGGGTTCAGTTCCTCTGCAAACATTTTAGCCGGGACATTCAGGCATGAGAGGCCAGCAGAGTGCCCCCGGGGACACCCTGTTAGGGGGACAAAATCTTTATCTGTCTAAAATGGCTCCCACTTGGACTACAGAGTCATTCTGTGTTGCACTATCCTCACCACAGCACAGTGTCTAAGGTTACCAAGTATTATTGACCACCTACCGTGGACCATATCAGTGGCTGTAGGATATACAGTTGAAATAAAAGAATTACAGCCCTGAACTACAAAGAGGCTATTGCCAAAGTCATATCATCTTAGAGATCAGTTAACTCAACCAGGTTAGTTGAAAAATAAGAGCTCTGAAATACAGAAAAGTGAGGTTTATGGCTCAGTCAGGCCGGAACCAAGACACACTGCCTCCTAGTAGAAACAGACTAAATAGGATTTCATACAATTAAGGCCAATTTTCCAGACTTGGAGGACAACATCATAGGACCAAAGACTTTGGACAAATTTCAAAAAACAGTGAAAATATGAAGAGTCAGGGAAGTCTTTCTAGGAGAGTGAGGACAAAATGGGGATGAATGGATAGTCAGAAAAAAATACAAGGTCTTTGAATTAATCCAATGAATATCCCACAAATCCTTACAGGCCCTACTCACAGCAGGACTGTCTGGGGGATACACAGCAGACAGCACGATTTTTAACTTTCCTGCTTTCGTGGAGTTTACTTGTAGAAGGAACAGCTAGAGGGAGTAGACAGAAAAGTTGCCAAGACACAAAGAGACAGTCTGTTTCATAAGCTCCTTCCTCTCCGGACCAATAGAAAGTCTCGAAACGGGAAAGTGAAAAATCTCACTTAAGGTGGCTCTTCAAGGAAATCTGGGTGTTAAAACCTGGTTTATCATCTTCTCTATCAGCATCAGGATTACAGGGAGTGGAGTGAGAGCTACATTCTTCTAGTCAACCAACTTTTGCTAAGAACCTCCTATGTGCAAGGTACTTGGCTCATGAATGAGAATGATAACCAGGGAGAGAGAAGGTGAGGCAAAAGAAAAACCAGTTATCAAGTTTGATAGGTGTTTTTTCCCAACAAAACTCAATACAATATCGAAAGGAGGAAAAAGGTGGAGAGGGAATATGTTGACAGGGAAATGGGGGATGGGCAGCTCTCTCACACCCAGACTCATACTCTGAGCTCCAGACCCAAATACTCAACAATCATTCAGTATCTCTATTTGGAAATCTCAAAAGCATCTCAAACCCAAAAAATGTCTTTGACCAAACCGGCCCTCTTTATCCAGTGGTGGCCCCAGCCTCTAGATAGGAACATAAAACAGAAATAAGTCAGAACTTTGATACCCTCAGCTCTCACCAATTCAATCCAATCCGATCCATCACCAAGTCTCAACACTTTCTTGGCCCAGTCTTAAGTCATATCAATACTTCTCTCCTGAAAAACAGCCTCTCTCTATTCCTGCTCCCCCATCAACTCAGCCCCCACCTAGCAGCCTCTGATCACATCATGTCATCCTCTTCATTTTTCTGCAGCTTCCCAGTATATCTGAGGCTGGTCTGGTCTCTCACTCTCTCCAACACCATCATGTACCATGTTGGGAAGTAATTATTCCCTGACTTGTACAGATATCTGACAAGTGGTCCCTCCTACCCTCCTACTTTGAACACAAAGTCCATGTCCACACTCACTATTATTTTCTTACCATCTAAGTTCATGATACATTCTATGTGATCAATAAATTTTTGCTGCCAGTGGTTCTCAACTTGGGGGGGGGGGTGATTATTCTCCTTCTCCCAAGGCAATATTGGAAGCATTTGTCACAGTTGTGGGGGCTCTATCTAATGGATAAGAGGGCAGCATGTTGCTAAATATCCTACAGCCCCCCCAAACTACTCAGCCCACAGTGTCAGCAAAGCCAAGGTGAGAAATGCTGATTTCAATGAAGGAGGAATGTTTTTATTTTGATCCTATTTGAATTGTATTGTTAGACTCAAGTCCTTATAGAAATACATTTGTTATCTTCCAATGTTGTAAGAGAGACAGACAAACATGCATATACATACACTCAACTCCCACAAAATTCCCTATAGGTGGAGACGGCATACTTTATATATCCCCACAGGCCTGACACAGAACTAGAATGTAGCTGCTCACTAACACCTATCTGCAAAACCTCATTTAACATAAGAAATGCCTCAAAATTGAGGGTAGACTTGAGCTGCATTAATGAGACTACCTTATTTCACATATAGGACCAGAGCTTAACAAGTCTAGTGACATCACACTGGAGACCCGCCCACCTGCTAAGCCACACCCTCTGACAGTCACAATGACTAAGGCCTTAAATACCCAGGCCCGCAGCCCCCGGGCCTTGCAAAGCCCCTCATTTTGGCAGAAATTACAATGTCTACCAGCCGCAAGTTAAAGAGCCATGGCATGAGGAGGGGCAAGAACAGAGCTCCCCACAAGGGAGTCAAGAGAGGTGGCAGCAAAAGAAAATACCGGAAGGGCAGCCTGAAGAGCAGAAAACGGTGTGATGATGGTGAGTGAGGGGCGGGCAGGAAAGCAGTCACCCGGAGGGACACTTGCTGCGCCAGGGCGCTCTCTTGGAGTTCATGTCTCCAAAGACCTTGAAATCTCAGCCTGAGAATTTCATTTTCACTCCATTTCCTACCTGCTCAGGAAGCGTGTTGGTGGCTCTTCCTAACTCATGTCCCTCTTGCAAACATGTGCTTCCCCCACAGCCAATCGCCATTACCGCTCCCACATGTGATCCCATCAGTGGGTTCTGCCCTGGTGGACTTCAAACAGCACCAGGCAGCAGTAAGAGAACAGAAGGGGGACTGCCAAGAAACGTGGAGTTAGATCAAAGGCAGAGAAGAGCCTAAAATGCCAATCATGACGAAATGAGGAATGTATATGTTGGCTGTTTTTCCCCAACATCTCAATAAAATGTTGAAAACCGAAGTGTGTTTCCTTTGGTCTTTGCTGGAAAAGTGAGTTCAAGTTAGGCGTACTTGGGGAAGAACTGGCTGGTGTAAATCATGACCGGTTGGTGTGAACATGGCTTGAAAATGTCAAATATGTCGTGTGACTCTCTTCCAATGTGCCCAAATGATAATGCACCATCCCTAAATTCACTCTTCCCAACGCAGAAAAGAGAGGAAGGGGGAGAAATAGCACACAAGCTGGTTTTGTCAGGGAGTTTGCTGCAAAAAAGAGAAGCAAACCTTGTGCCAGAGGAGAGCAGAGAACACTTGTGGCGTTTCTAATCTTCTGTTTGGGCAAGATTCAGACTGTTAGCTCTTCTGAGTTTGAGATGGACAAAACTGGAGGTGGTTGCCTGGGAGATTCATGTCAGTGTGATGTCATAAGTGAACCTTAATCAGGTGTGGAAGTAGGAATTACCTCAATCTGGGTGGGGCCTTACTGATCATGGGCAGGGAAGAGCTGTTCTTAACTACCTCATTTTACCTTGACCTTATGTCTCCAGCCTGATCCTCCAGATCTGACACCGCCTCTCAGCAGCCACCCACTCAGAGGGGGTAATATTTTTTTTTTTAATGAGCTCTTCCTGTTTCCTCAGAGGCAGATCCAGGGAGGCACAGGGTGGAATTGAGACTCATTTTTACCAAGCCACCCACAGAAATAAGCCACCCACTTGGAAACTTCATGTTTCATCCCCAGAAGTTTCCAAGAGAGAGGGGTATGAGAAGGCCAGGTGACAACCAGGTGACAGGGTTCGGGAATGCACATCTTCAGAGGGCTCCAGAGAGGTGTGCAGGTCACAGAGGACGTCCCTGTGAGTCCCTGTGGATCAGATTTTAGGCTGAGAACATTTTCAGGTCTCATGAAAACTCACCCCTTCAACCTCCCTTTGTAGTCCTCATTGTCCACAGTTACACCTGTCCTACCTCCTAGATGTTCCTTTAACTCATTCCCATTTTTCTAACCAGTGTTCATCCAAAGGCATGACAGCACAAAGCTCTTTAGGGATCTCGGGAACCCCTAATCAGAAGCACACATTTCTCCTGAACCTTCTGGGAGTCTTATGAAAGCTGCAGTGCACAGGGCCCATATTTTAATATCAGGCTCTAAATCCTTCTCAACTTACAGTCATACACTGGGTTCTCAGCACTGACCAGGGTGGGGGTTGGGTGAGGAGATAATTATTAGAGATCAGTACTCAGAAGGGGATGCAGGACTGTCAGAGAGAGAGGAGTTGAATAAAGCCTGGGTTATCCAGAAGGATAGCCAGGGTCCCCACAGGCCACAGTCTGCTGCAAGGAAAGACGACCTAGGGGGAGGTGTGCGTGGTGGTCTGAAGTAGTGTGTCTGTTTCTTGATCCTGCCAGCTCCCTTCCCCTAGCCTCTCACCCTCCCCAGTGCACAGTTCACTCCCCACCACACCCTGCTGCATCTGCTGCCAGGACCCTTCAAATGCCTCCATGCACAGCTCACCCCTCTTCCCTGAGCTCGCTGCTCAGTCTCTTCCATGCCAACTTTCATGGCAGCCTCTCCCCTGGGGAGAGTCAGGGACAAACTACAACAGTGGGAAAGCTGAGAGAGAGATTCCCTTCCCTCAAGAAAGTCATCCTTGAGGCCTCCCTGATGGCCTAGGAGTTAAGTCTCAGTGGCTATGGCCTGAATTCAATCCCCAGCCAGAGAGGTGACTCATACGGCACAGCAGGCCTCTCCTGTCTCACCTGCTGCTCCCCTCAGCAGTGTATTTCAGTAGATCCGCCTATTTTGCTCCCCACTCTGTCTCTGGTGAATCCTCTCACCCCTTACACCTCTGGCTTACACGCCAGTTCTTCAAATATAAGAAAAAAAGAAACTCATTACAATTGGGAAGTCGGCCTATATCTATCAGGGTCCCCAGAAAAGCAGCTCTCTCTAGGGTTCAAGTAAAAAGACTTCACAGGGGCTCCGTGGAAACCAGCACTGTTTGGGGAGCAGCAGACAAACCTCTTCTCAAAGACTGGACTGGGAGGATCAGGTTGGATGGCAGCTACCACCAGTCTCAGCAGCAGAGAGGGGACCACCTGCCTTCTCTTTCCTCAATTGAGAGGTGCAGGTAAAGAACCCCAGATGACACAGAGCCCAAGGCTAGCCTCTTGGGACATCACCAGGGGTGACAGGCACAATTTCTTCTTTCCTTGGACTTAACAGATTCCAGCTGCTTTATCATCCTGACCCTCAGCTTGCGTCCCCTTCTAAAACGTTCTAAGTTTCAGCCCCCTACTAAAACGTTCTCAGGCGATGTTATATTTCAACAATTCTCTAAACACTGAAACAATCTAATTAATCATTAGGATGGGCATGTGGTGAGCAGCCCAGGCCAGTCCAGGCAGCCCGACCCTTGCCCGGTGACTTCAGACTTTGCCCTCCTCAGCAGGTTGTGGAAGGAACGGTAGCCGCCCGGAAAACTCTGCTTTGCAGCAAGAACATTTTCCAGGCCCACGAGCTGGAAACTTCCCAGCACTGGTGTTGACTTAGTCCCTGCCCTCCAGAGACATTCATTCTGCCTGCTGACAGCTCCTGCAGGCCCAGCGCCCACCAGACAGGCGCACGTAGGTAAACAGCACCAGGCCCTGACCACGGCGACCCTCCTTGCGAGCCTCAGAGACCTCAGCCGCTGTGTGTTCTTTCTCCGTCTGCCTGACCAAGGCAGACCTTGTTCCTCTCTCCAGTTTTCTCTGGAACGCCACGTCCTGAAGTCATCACTGACTTGGCTTTTTTGGAACGTCAAAAAAAATTTTTAAGGACTTTGACCACTAGCTCTTCTGGGTCACCTTGACCTGCTTGTGAGCTGACGTGGATACAGGGCCTCTGCTGCATGGTCTCGGGGTGCAGAGAGCCCATGTGTGGGTGGAACGAAACCAGAGGGGCTTCATCCCACCTCTTACTCTGGCCTCAGCAGATGACCCCTGGTGAACCTTGTAGCTGTAGGCAAGCAGGAAGTTCTAGAGAAATGCTCAGGGCCGTGCTGAGGAGGTGAAGGCCCAGAAACAGCAGCTGGGAGGTTCTCTGGGTGCTATGGGGGACAGTGCCAGTCAGATATGGCCTGGGGGCTCAGCTGAGTGGCTCTCAGTTTCTGTCCTTTGAGACTAGAGGCCAGCAGCAGCCTGAAACCACAGCCTGGCTCGTGCTCTGAGATCTGGGCTTGCTCCGGCCAGCCTCACTGTGGACAAGGAAGCTAGTGAGGTGGGGGTCTTAGTCCTGACCTCTGGGAGTGCAGGGTCTCAGTTCCCAGGCTGTTAACTTCACCAGCTTGATGAGTGAGAAAGCAGGCTGGCGCACTTCCAGAAAGAGCCTCTGCTCACTTTAGACCCCCCACGCCACCCTCCCTCTCCAACCTCTCATCAGTCCAAACGTGAGACTCCCCTGATCTGAGCCTGCAGCCATTCTTGCCATCTTAGCTCAGTGTCCCGGGAGCAGGCAGATGACAGTTCTCTCCACACAGCAGAGCACAGGGGAAAGGTTCAGAACCGAAACGCAAGTGTCTGTTTTTCATCAGAGCCAGCTGCTCCTGCTCTGTGACCTTGACTCCGTCTACCAGTCCTGCTTTAGTTCTTTACTCCGAGCCTTTGCACACCTCCTCCCTGGCAGCTGGGGCCATTTCAGCATTCCCTGCAGCCCAGCTCCACCATCCCCGTGACCAAGCCTGATTCAGGCTCAAGGAAATAAGGCATTTCTGAGCAGCCTGCAGGTGGGAAGAGACAGACGGGCATGGGCTCCGTGGGCATGTCATGTTAGGTAAATTTCCAAGCCTCTGTGAACTTCATCATCCTAATCTGTAAAATGTCATAGTATCTACATCACAAGAGACTCCAAAGAATAGAAAACACTGCCAATGGCAGGCCCTGAATAGGGCAGCTGCCCTATGTTCTCTCCCTCTGGACGGCCCTTAGGTGTCATTGGGTGACCACGACACATGCCCGCTTCCCAGACCCTGTGTCAGTTGCTGAACATCCCACACTTGCGGACAGACTTCCCCATCATGCCAGTTTGCTCTGCAGCGCTCCAGGCCCCTACTGTGACCTAGAGTCCCTCAGGCTCTCCTGACTCTTTGCCTAGGCCAGTCCTGAGGTCAGGAAGCCTCTACCTCTCCCTGTGACTCGTGTTGCTCTCCCATAAAACATCTGAGCTAAGGGTGATCTTATCTCTCTCCTAGTCTGTAAGCTCCTGGGAGCAGGAGCTAGACCATTCATGATGGAAGGAGCACATCAGGACGTCCCAGCAGCCATGGTTGCCGGGGGAGCAAATGAATGCGTCTTCCTCTTCACCCAATATGTTGTGAAAAACAAAATCTGAGTGTAGATGTGGGTGAAAAGGACCAAGGGTGCATTAACAAACTCGCTGATTAGGATCGTGTTTATTTTTTTCCATTAACGAATGGCAAGTATCTCTGCAATTAATTAGCTACAAAGTCTCAGGTCTAACACACAGGTGGTTTGAAAAGCAAGAAGAATGTGAATTGCACAATGGGCAGGGATTATCCTCAAAAGTGCCTCAGAATGGGATCTTTCAAGAAAGTAGAGCTTCTCAACAGGACCAGAAACAGGACCTTCATTTATCAAAGGTCACTTGTGCTTCCTTCAGGCACCCAGACTGTCAACTGCACACAAGATACCAGTGCTTCAAGAATGTTTCATTTGTGGTTTTATTTATTATTTCTAACTTTGTTATAGCAATAAGAATGACAATGAATTCCCCACCACCAGGGCCACTGTCTGTGTGGGGTGTGCATGGTCTCCCCATGTCTGTGTGGATTCCCTCCTGGTTGTCATGTCTCAGTTATTCAGCCCGAGTGTGTGTGCACGTGTGTGCGCAGGTGCACATATGTGCACATGTCCTGTGATGAAAGGGCATCCTGTCCTTCTACCCTGAGCTGCCAAGGAGAGGTTCCACTAGAGACCCTGGGCTACAGGTGATTGTTTATTACTAGAAGTGTTTGGGAGCCTTTATTTAGCATTTTGGTGATG